GGGGAGGTCGGACGGGTACACCTCCCGGCCGAGGATGGCGACGGCGCCTCGGGGAGCGCAGATGGGGCGCGCCCCGCTCCCCCGGGGACGCCGGCCTCCTCGCGTCCTCTGCCACTGGGGGTTGAGGTCGGGGTCCGGGCAGCGCGTCCCCGGAGCCAGGAGAGCCTGAAGCCGCGAGCCTTAGACTTGCCCCCTCGTGACACACAGACGCTCGCACACACAGACACACACTCACATGCACTCACGCGCGCACACATACTGACACACACTCACATGCACTCGCGCGCACACACACAGACACACACTCACATGCACTCACGCGCGCACACACCCACACAAACGCGCACGCGCGCACACCACCTCCGCCGCTCGATTCTCGGCCGCCACCACCTTCCCGGGGTCTCAGGCCCCTCTCTCCTGGGTACTCCCCCTCGGCTTCCCCCCGCTTGGTAAAAAGTGAGTTTGGTGTGTGTCGCTCGCGTGGCTGTCATTAAGGCAGTGTGTTATTGTGCGAGGCTGAATCAGTGGCTCTTTGTGCGCTCAGCTGTATGGTAATGCACACAGCACCTGCTCCCTGCACAATGTGAAGAGAAAAAGCTCCCCTCCGCGCGCGCTGCGGCCTCTGCCACAATGTCCTGCACATGTTCTAAAGACCCTGCAGCCTCGGCCCCCCAACCCACAACCTTAACACAACCATCACCTTATTAGGTTGGTACACGTCCATCAGATTCTAGCACTTTTGTGCTCGTTTTTTAAAAGGAAATGAGTTTATTGGGAGGGCCGAGAACACACATATCACAATGAATTATCTAAATTGCTCTCACACTCACAGACGAGATGGACAAGTCGGTTGGGGCACGGACTCCTACTTCGGCATCTAGCTTTGTGCTGGGCACACACTCTTCCCCATAACTGTCTGCTCCTCCTTAACACCCCCCCCCCACACACACACCTAGGTGGCAGTTTCGTTAGGATACAAGGTGTAACAGTTGGAGTGAATGTTCCTTTGTAGCACCTGGCCACAGAATCCTCACCGTAGGTGTGTGATGGCTGTCTTATTGGTGAGAACACACACTGTCACGATGGCAGAATGTGACTTCCATCAAGACAGGTGTCTTGATCACAAAGTATGTGATGCACAGGAGAGGGGACGTTCTGAAACATCAAGAAAAACCGTTGGCAACAGCAATCTAAAGAATGGTGAAGTCACCCACAGTGGTCCCTCTGGCTATTATGTGGCTGGAACCACGACTCTGTGGCTCCTTTTTAGGTGACCTGGACTGTGTCCTGCTACCTTGTCTCCCAGATGCCCGTAAAGTTTCAGGATCAACAGAGATGTACACTTTAGGATTTCCATTCTGCCTCGTGGAAAAGTAAAGAGTTAATCAAAAGTAACATGCGTATGTTTATGGCTGAGGTGAGAATGGCAGGCTTGGACCCCACCCCAAACCTGACTGTTGGTTTGAACTTGGACCCTACTGTTTGCTTCAGAACAAATGGAGGCTTCAAAAGATGCTGCCACCCCAATGACAGTGGCAAACCCAGTGTGGCTGTCCTTGGGGCCTCTGTAAGGACTTGCTACATTGACAGGGTGGGGCCGGCTTGAATTCTAATTTAATCTTGCCACCTAGTGTCAGGATCCTTTTCTCTCTGGATCAGTGTTTCCTGTGAAAGCTGGTTTCTGAGAACGCTGCTCCCTATGGCACAGGAGCTGCTCCATGGGGGTGGGGTGGGTGGGAGGGTTCCAGAAGCGGGGAGAAGCAAAAGAAGAAAGCAATGGATGTGAGGTCAGAATTCAGAATCCTCTGCGCCTGCGAGACTGAGCACAGATCTCAGTGAGAAATGAAATATCAGGAAACTTTTAATTAGAAAGTGGAAGCGGGAAACAGGCTCATTTGAATGCTTGTTTAGAAAACTGGAAATAAAAAGTTCCACGCGCAAGGGCTTAAACTTTGCGGAAAAAAAAGACTTGCCCCAAATCTTTAACAAACCCCCTCAGTATCGAGTGTTTGTTAAACTGACGTGGCACAGATTTCTCGATTACAGCGGCAAAGCGGAGCTGAAAGGCATCGTAAAATCCATCAGAATCCTGCCCAAAACGCTCATTCTTCCCCAACTTAATTTATGCCACGCGATTCTGTATTGGGGAAATCAAGCAGAAAGCCCTTTTCTTCTTCCCCTCCTCCTCCTGCTCCTGCTCCTGCCCCCCCCCCACGTTCCACCCCTCG